TGGACTCCCATGTAGTTGACCATGGTTCAAGTCCCGGACCCGGTGGCTTAAACTCACGCTGGGCTCGTGCGCATGCGTGCCCAAGATCCCAAGAAGAGAATGAGGAGAAGGGATTGTGGCGTGGCCATCCCCCCGGGGGGTGATTTCTCACTTTCTGTCTCTCTGTCTTTCCGGCAAGTGCATGTGCTCTATAGCAAAAAACTCTCAAAGAAATGAATGTTTTATTTCATTTTATTTATTTTAACTTGAGAGAAAGAAAGAAAGTGAGAAAGCAAGCCTCCAGATCCAGGACTCAAACTGTAGTCAGCCATGTGGGAATCCAATGCCTTAACCACTACACCGCCTGCCAGCCCAGTACAGGGAACTCTTAAGCCCCCAGATAAAGGTTTCACTTTATACACTGTAATTCCATACATTGCATTATCCGCCATGACCATGTATTTGAAGACTCCTATCATGAGGTATATCGCAAATCCCCTGAAGAAATGAAGAATCGATTGTAAGAGCCTGGGACAGAGAACAGATGAGGGGGCGGGGCCTTCCTACACAGTAGTGATGGCTTACTCTAGCTTTAAATTTAAGGAATTTAAGTTTGCATTTAATGCCCTCTCCCAATAGAATTCTGGCTTAGGTGATATCACTGGACTGTCTCCTGTCTTCTGGGCCTATCTGCTGGCTTGCCTTTTAGCTGAGCATATCCAACAATTCCCAGGCAGTAAAGTCTTTGGTGTTTATAAGGATAAACCTGAGGGCTTCACATAAGAGTTTCACCATTGTTATACTAGGATGAAAAGCCCACTGAGGGGAACCAGCAGTTAGCGTGATGGCTATGTCGCTGGACTCCCACGTAGTCGACCGCGGTTCGTGTCCCGGACCCGGTGGCTTGAAACTCAAGCCGGGCGCGTGTGCGTGCGTGCCCAAGATCCCGAGAGGAGAATGGAGGAGAAGGGATTGCGGCGTGACCATCCCCCCTGGGGGGTGATTTCTCGCTTTCTGTCTCTGTGTCTGTCTCTGTCTGTCTGGCAAGTGCACACGCCCTACAGTGAAAATCTCTCAAAAAAAAAGGTAAAAAAAAAAACAAAAAAAGCCCACTGAACAGATGTACTCCCCTCCAGGTTAGAGGAGGATGCACTTGTATGTGTGGCCCCCATCAGATTGGTTACTACTCACTGGTGACTTTGAAGCCACCAACAGAAGATCGGCTGTTTCTAATACCAAGTGTTGGAGGACCTGATGAGGTGTGAAACCTACTGGAGTAGTTTGAAAATTGCTACTCTACCCTGTGGCATAGGTCCACCACCCATGTAATCACACAGGAAGTCAAGAGTTTTTGCAGACAGATTATGCCATGCTCCTCCACCACCAGATATCCTAGAGAAATTGGACTCCAGGCTTAGCTTTCTCTGATACTATGTTTCTCCCCACTTCCCCTAAGTAGGGCCTCATTTAGGCCTCCTGTACCTTTCCTATTGGTGTTTTCTGAAATCCACGTGAACCTGTAACAATACTTCAGAACATCTCTTCTATCAGTGGTGCTTTTTTTAGTCCCAGATTCCTACCCTGTCTCTGGGCTCTCCCAGCACACTCTGCCCCCTTTTTTATCTGACTGCACTCTCCAAAGACTGCCTCACAGCCCCTCATCCACTGGGTTAATGTTGCACCAATGCGTGGGTCTGTCGTGGGTTTTCTCACAGCTCTCTTCTGTTTCTGTTCTCTTATGCAGGTATATAGTGTTTGAAGGAGAAGAAGGGCAGGATGCTGGAGGGCTTCTGCGGGAGTGGTATATGATCATCTCTCGAGAGATGTTTAACCCTATGTATGCCTTGTTCCGTACCTCACCTGGTGATCGAGTCACCTACACCATCAATCCATCTTCCCACTGCAATCCCAACCACCTCAGCTATTTCAAGTTTGTTGGACGCATTGTGGCCAAAGCTGTATATGACAACCGCCTCCTAGAGTGCTACTTTACTCGGTCCTTCTACAAACACATCTTGGGCAAGTCTGTCAGGTGAGGGTGCGGTATAGTCCCAAGACACTCTTCAGCCCTGGGGGTCAGGTCCTTTACTTGTGTCTGATGCTGCCTTCCTTTCACACCCCTAATCCATAATCTTGTCTACTTGTGTTTTATTAGATACACAGATATGGAGAGTGAAGATTACCATTTCTACCAAGGCCTGGTTTATCTGCTAGAAAACGATGTCTCCACGTTAGGCTATGACCTCACCTTCAGCACTGAGGTAGGCCAGGAAATCCTAAGCAACGCATATCCCAACCAGTCTAGGAAGCCCATTTCAATATCACCTTAGACTGACTGGATAGTTAGAAGAAAATACATCTTCACTTCATCTCCTTTTTTTTTTAATTGAGAGATTTTTGCTATAGGGCACATGGGCTCACTGGAGAGACAGAGAAACAAAAAGTGAGAAATCATTCCCCTGGGGTGATGGGCATGCACATGTGCACATGTACACATCCCGTGTGAGTTTTAAGCCACCAGATCCAGGACTTGAACCATAGTCGACTATGTGGGAGTGCAGTGACATAACCATTATGCCATCTGCTGGTCCCAACTTCTTAGTACCTTAAAGCCCGCATGCTCCATCAGGCAGAGAGTATTGGGTTTTTTGTGGGTTTTTTTTGTTTTTGTTTTGGAGAGGTTTTTGCTATAGGGCACGTGCACTCACCAGACAGACAGAGAGATACAGAGAGACAGAAAGCGAGAAATCACCCCCCAGGGGGGATGGTCACGCCGTAATCCCTTCTCCTCTCGGGATCTTGGGCATGCACGCACATGCGCCTGATGTGAGTTTTAAGCCACCGGGTCCGGGATGCGAACTGCAGTCGACTACGTGGGAGTCCAGCGACATAGCCATTACACTAACTGCTGGTTCCCGAGAGTATTGGGTTTTTGTGTGAGACATCATAAACAGAAAAACTCAAATTTTCAAAACAATCCAGGCTGTTTACTAGTTTTCCCTTTATGAAAAATAGTAGATAGCTCTTAATTCTCAAGTAATTCATCTTAGAAAATTCGTATAAATAGAGGTAAGTGGGAAACAAACAAAAATTGAAGGTTATTGTTACCACAAATGGTTTTCCACAAAATTGTGTTGGATTGGGGCTGGCAGGTGGCATGGTGGTTGAGATGCTGGACCACTACATGGCTGATAGCGGTTCAAGTCCTAGACCTGGTGGCTTACTTTCTCATTCTCCCCACCACCACCACCCCGGTCAAATTTAAGAATAATAATTAAAATAAGTAAATAAATTTTTAAGGATTGTGTTGGGTTGCAAACATTGCTAGCCATTCCCGTTCCCTTTTACCATTGACAGATGCCTTTATGTACTTGGGGGTCAAAAATAATTTCCATCATTCAAACCCTTGATCTTTTCCTGTCAGGGGAGTTGTGAGCTAATGACTAATGAGAAAAGTCACTATTTTGTATGTACTTGATTTGTCTTTTTGCCCACTGCACAGCAAGGAGCATATGATACATTTCCAGGTATCTATGTTAGTCTTATCCTAGACCAAGCCTGATATGTGTGATTGGTCCTTTGGGTGTTCTAGGTCCAAGAATTTGGAGTCTGTGAAGTTCGTGACCTCAAACCCAATGGAGCCAACATCTTGGTAACAGAAGAGAATAAGAAGGAATATGTACACCTAGTGTGCCAGATGAGAATGACAGGTAGGGGAAATGTCTGTTAGTCCTCTAGTTACTCAAGATGGGAAATATCTGTCCGAAAATGTTGAACTTTATTCACTCATACAGGGGCCTAGAAATACAGTGGTAGGTGAGGCAGGCAGTCTAGTCAGCATCCTGGTAGCAATAGCAGCCAGACTGGGGCTCTCCAAACTCTTTAACAGTTGAGTAAGTTCAGGTGCCATGTGACAATTTGGTTCTCTCTCCAGGAGCCATCCGGAAACAGCTGGCAGCTTTCTTAGAAGGCTTCTATGAGATCATTCCAAAGCGCCTCATTTCCATCTTCACTGAACAAGAGTTAGAGCTGCTCATATCAGGACTGCCCACCATTGACATTGATGATTTGAAGTCTAACACTGAGTACCACAAGTACCAGTCCAACTCTATTCAGGTGAGCTGCTACCAACCTCCCTTCTGGGATGGTCCCCTTATTTACCCCTGCATGGTGCTAGTCCATGTGACACCAAGTAAACCAGTACTCTTGGAGGTAGAGGGGGAGTACCTATACTAAACTCTATGTTCTTTTGGCACTGGTTTTTGGATGATGATCTTGCCCATCTATGAATGAAGGAACTGAAGCCTGTCCCACAAAAGGGACTTACCTAGGATTCCAAGGCCATCCCCTTCTCTGGGAGCTCCCTTCCTAATATTGGCTTCTTGGGTCCCTTCCTGCAGATCCAGTGGTTCTGGAGAGCACTGCGTTCTTTCGACCAAGCTGACCGTGCCAAGTTCCTCCAGTTTGTCACAGGTACTTCTAAGGTGCCCCTGCAAGGCTTTGCTGCCCTTGAAGGCATGAATGGCATTCAGAAGTTTCAGATCCATCGAGATGACAGGTCCACAGATCGCCTGCCTTCAGCTCACACATGGTAAGTGGACAGAGGGTTTGTTTCTCCTCTTCAGTGTTCAAATTGAGCTTGTATACTTGACATTTCTACGTTCCTGGGCCTTAAGTAGCTCACAGTTTGGTAGTTCTCTGAAGAAGATGTTTGAGATGAGAAGATATGCTAGATGCCAAGTCAGGGCTGGGGAGACACTGGCAGGTATACACCCTCAGTTGAGCAGGATGTGTTCAAGGGTTGGTGTGGATGGAGCAAGGAGTGGCACGGAGCAGAAAGCTAAAGGGCTTCAGCAGACTTTAGATTACTATTGACCTTGAATACCTCCTTAGCGTGTACTTTTACAGGTGAGGTGCTTAAGGAGTAACGGGGCCAGATTTATATATTTGGTGCCTGATGGAGACAGATTAGAGGACACACCAGCCTGTGACAAGATTGTGTTAGCAAGAA